TCGGAGGAATTCCTCATTGACACCGGGCTTAGACAAGGAAATCCTCTCACTCCCTGCTATTTAATTTTGCACTGAAACATGCGGTAAGGAAATATCAACCACAACTGACAAATAGATTTGCCTCCCCAATATTGCTCCTCAATATTTGCCTCCCCAAAATCGCGGAAAACATGTCCCACATAATAAATTGAAAGATGATGATGAACTGCTGATTCGTGAGCACATTCTGTCATTTCCAGCAGTGGAGTCGCATTACTGTAGGGCTTCTAGTACCAAAAGGTATTTGGATTCTGCACTAAACGTCTCTATTATGTACAAATTGTACAAATTAAAGTGCTCAGAATTAAATGTCCATCCAGTTTCTTTCGAAAAATATCGACGACAACTTATAGCTTCGGGTTCCATAAACCCAAAAAAGACCACTGTAAAAAGTGCTTAAAATATACGAATTTGACAAAGGAGGAAAAAATAACACATGAACAGGCTCATCACCAACACATGCTAAGGAAGCAATTAGCTTGTGAGGCTAGAGACGAAGACAAAGAAATTTCAAAGAATAATCCAGAGGTACTATCGTTTAACTTTGACCTCGAAGCAGTGCTTACGGCTCCAAAGGGTCCAACAGGACAAATATTTTACCTACGAAAATTGGCTATTTACAACCTGACTCTCTACAACTTAGGAAATCAGGCTAGAATCTGCTACCTTTGGAACGAAACCCAAGGAAAAAGGGTTTCAAATGAGATATCCACGTGTATTTAAAATTACATTATTAATCAACCAACCATTACTGAGGTTCGAATGATGTCGAACGGGTGTGGCGGGCAACAAAGAAATTCACATTTTGCTGCTATGTGCTTGAAACTTCTTACGGATCATACTAATTTAAAAACGATTGATCACAAGTTTTTTGAAACAGGGCATACCGAGATGGAGTGTGATTCACTCCACTCGAAAATCGAACAAAAATCAAAATATGTCCCTGTTTATTCACCAGAAGGTTGGGCTCAGATAATAAGAAATGCTCGAACACATCCACGTCCATTTGAAGTCAGATTCATAATGTTTGATGACGTCTTTGATTTCAAATCCTTTGGAATACAGAACTATACATTGAACCAAATTCCTTGGCAACAAGTTTAGAATAGAATAGAATAGAAATATGCTTTATTGTCACTGAAAATTATTGAACAATTTTATGGACAAAGCTAAAAAATAAATCAGTCAAATAATACAAATAATACAAAAAGTATAAAACAAAAACAATATAGTAAAAAACAGAATAACACAATTATAAATTAGTAAAATTATTGTATAACCTACATAATTTGTACAGACAACAACAAATGAGACAAATTGTAGCCACTGCTTGAGACACCCAAATGTAATTATAAACAATACTAATTTTGTTTCTTTGTTATACATTAAGAAACTCGTCAACTGAATAATATGGTCTTTCTGAGAGATAGATTTTTGTCACCTTACGAAACTTAATGAAGGATGTTGCGGATTTAATTTCTCTTGGAAGGTGATTATAAAGTTTCTTTGCACGATATAGAATAGAATTCTTTACTAGCTGAGTGGACGGGATCGGCAAATAAACGTTACAATCCGAATTTCTAATGGAGTAGCCATGGTCAGGTCTATCGGGAAAAATGTTTAGATGCTTTCGAATCAAACAAACCGTTTCCAAAATAAATAAAGAGGGAAGCGTCAAAATTCCGTGATTTTTGAAGTAGGTCTTGCAATGAGTTGTTTGTTTGAGACCAAATAGATAACGGATTGCTCTTTTTTGCAACTTAAAAATAGTATCAAATTGGGCCGCTGTACTAGAACCCCAAAATGGAAGCCCATATCGAAGATGGGACTCGAACAATGAGAAATATGCCATTTTGGCAGAAGATAAATTTAGTTCCTTCGAAACAGATCTTATTGCAAAGCAAGCTGAGGCTAGTTTCTTCCTTAAGGAGTCAGTATGCAAGGACCATTTGAGATCACTGTCAATGAGAATACCTAGAAATTTCACGGAATTTACGATATTGATTTGGCTCTCATTCAAAAGTAAGGGTTGCATGACTCCTTTATAAGATAATGCTACAGTCTTATCCACGTTAAAGCTAAGTAAGTTGGAGTCTGACCAAGCCTTGATTATAAGTAAATCATCGGTTATAATTGAATGAAGCGTTGAAGTATCAGAGCTGCTCCAAGTAATACTGGTATCATCAGCAAATAGAAAAATTTTCCCTTTAATTTTCAAGTAAGTGATGTCATTAATGAAAAGTAAAAAAAGAATGGGACCTAATACTGAACCTTGCGGTACTCCACACTCAATATCTTTACAACTAGAGTCGGTGTCATTTATTCTAACCAATTGTTTCCTACCTACCAAGTAAGTTTTGAACCAGTTCAAAGACACACCCCGAATTCCATAGAAAGTTAATTTTTTTAATAGAATGTCGTGATTTACGCAGTCAAAGGCTTTGGAATAGTCGCAGAAAACGGTGGCGGAGGAGAGGTTACTGTTTAGTGATAGATATACATCATGTAACACAGAAAATATGGCATCACTAGTGCATCTATTAGACAAAAAGCCGAACTGATTTTGCGATAAAATATTATATTTAAGGAGAAAGGGCATAAGTCGAACTTTTATAAGTCTTTCAATAATTTTTGATAGTGCTGGTAACAAGGCAATAGGTCTATAGTTGCAGGCATCAGATTTTTCTCCACCTTTATGAAGAGGAATGACGATGGCAGTCTTTAGGCAGTTAGGGAATGTACCTTTTTCAAGGGAATCATTTACTAGCGAGACCATGACGTCCAAAACATTATGCGGTAGATTTGAGAAAATTTTAATAGATAATCCATCTGTACTACAGGACGATGTGCTTTTTATACTACGAATTGTTGAAATGAGTTCCGTCTTATCAACTGGTCTTAAAAAGAAGGTATCAGCAATGTTTTTTGAATTAGAGAGATAGGACACTGGATCTTGATGTGGCGAAATAGTTGAGGTTATATTTTTACTCACATTAACAAAGTAATCATTTAGATTTTCGGGGTTAGGAAAAGAAAAGGTTTGATCCGCTGTACTGGTTTTATTTCGAAAATCGTTTATTATTGACCAAGTTTCTTTTGAAATATTTTTGGAGCTTGTTAAGCGATTATGAAAGTAGGATTTTTTGGCTACTTTGAGTAGTTTTATATAGCATTTTCTGTACTTGTTGATATAATCAGAGATGGAGATACTGTCATTAAATTTTTTAATATATAGCAGAGAACGCATATTTTTCGCAGATATGCGAATGCCTTTGGTAATCCAAGGTTTATTATGTTTTGGCCTGATGTTTAATAGAGGAAATGCTTTATTAAAAATAGATACAAGTCTATTTAGAAAATCACTAACATTACAGTCAATGTCTCCAGAAGAAAAACTCCAGTCAGAAGTCAAGCATGAATTATAGAATTTACGAAAGTTTTGAGTGGAAAAAATCCTACCTAATCGTCGGGTTTTTGAGTGAGGTGTTTGTAAACTGCTAAACTTGGTATATACCGCTTCATGATCAGAAAGCCCCCCACTAATAACTGTAGAATGGACGTCAGCGGGTGGAAAATCGGAAACCACATAATCAATTGTCGAGGATGATGTTTTTGAGATTCTTGTTGCAGAATTAACGTGCATTGTGAGACCATATGATTCAAAAATAGTTACCAAAGACAGTTGGGTCGCACAAACAGTAGCGTAGTCAATATTAAAATCACCACATAAAATTTTTCTGCTTTTAATGGGTAGAATATCTAACAAATTTAGCAGGCTCTGAAAAAATAGTTCAGTATCAGAGCTAGGTGATCTATAAATGCAAATAATGTATAGATTAAATTTCTTATTAAAAATCAAAGAAAATTCGAAGTAGTTTTTGCTGGTTATGATACATTAAAACCGATGCCATGGTGACAATGTCCTATAAAAAAATTTTGGAGATGAATTTCAATAAGTAAACTGCATGAAAAGTCGTGGTCGACCCAAAAACGTTGACTTGAAGAAAGCTTATGATAAGCAGTTGCCAGTTGCGATTGCTAAATATAAAGATCTGCAGAAAATGTGTAATGATTTAACAATTCCAAAGAACTATCATAACTTTTATAATTCTATAACTGCCGATAAAAATACAGGGCAAAAAAAGGACAACTTACCGGAGCCAAATGAAAGCGAGGATTCAGACGAGAATTAAATTATTCTAAAATATGAAGTATTTTACTAAGTAGTATGTTATTACTTCTATCTTTTTTATTGTTATTATTTTTTTTTATTAGAAGGTACTTTTTGTTTCACTTTTGCCATAATAAAGGTTGATATAATTTCACGTATATGCATTTTATTACAAAAACTACAATGCCGCAATCACGAATGTAACTTTTTCCGAAAAATAATGGATATTTTCGAAAATCTCTGATAATATCTTTAAAATATAAATATAACATCTGATATTAAAAGTACAAAAAAAATGTCGCATTAAATCCTGAATTTTGTCAACTAATTGAAAGTTTAAAAGTTGAATATTTCCTAACGCTCATTTTGCACATTCGTGGGTGTGGCATTGCACCGACCACATATATTACGAGCTATTCTCAGACATAACTAATATACATATAAAATTTCATAAAAATCGATTAACCCGTTTCGGGGGAGTATCGCAACTAACTAAATCAGCCAACCAATTTAAGTTGCCCACATCATAAAAAAATAAAAATAAAAAAATCTGTTCAAAAAATTTAAAAAATTCCATTATTAATATTAAGAGGTATGAAAAATATATTACGACCTATTCTTAGATCTACTAAAAATACATATAAAATTTCATAAAAATCGGTCAAGTCGTTTAGGAGGCGTATAGTAATTAACACTGCGACACGACAATTGTATATGTATATATTTACCAAATATTTTATTGTTTAAATTTTTTTATTAAGTGATAATATATCTTGTTATTTTATTCTAGGTGTACAATGATGAGCTCCAACCTCACAGTGTATCTCTGATAATATCTGAAGCCGAAGGAGTAAGCACCACCTGTCCCAACGATTGTTCCGGAAGGGGCTCTTGTTACGTAGGAAAATGCGACTGTATCGATGGATTTCAAGGAATTGACTGCTCTAAAAGTAGGTTATTTTGTATAAAATATTAAATATGATATAGATGTTTTCATCTTTCTTGGCGTGTGCGTGTAAAAACACTTGCAATGAGTTGTTTCATCTGTCTTTCCTTGTCTAAGCTCGATTCGTTTACCTCCTCCAGTGGCAGCTATCTGTATTCGTAAAGAGGCCGAACTTATCACCGACACCGTATCGGCCAAACGCATCGGTTATTACTACAATACTGGGAGACGCGAGTGGTCTCTTCATTCTCTTCTCATCGCAGTTTACCATGACAAACGTGACTCGCACAATTGAATTACGCATCTGTCTATCAGAGAGAGACGAATATTAAAAATTCCGTAGTAGCTTATTTCAGGCACACACCAAGAACGATGAAACCGGGTATAACATATTTCATGCACATATTACTTAATTTAGAATTTCAACAAATTAAATAGTTACATTTTGTAATAGAGAGAGATTACTTACATCTATACTATATATGACAGTTTATCGACTAAGAGCTGATAGATAATTTTCAGGCAAAAATTTGGTTGGATTATTGTTAGTCTTTACTTAACAACAAATAAAAAAACCGGGTGAAAAATACTGTAGTTTTACCAACCAATTACTTTAAGGGTTGATTCAAGATTTATGAATCTTACCTGTTTTTATGGCATTTAAAATTGTAGTATCTTTTAATCTATTTATTATCCAATTAATATTAGCCAATTATCTCGTAAATTACCAGACATAATTATATAAAATTTCGTGTACACCTATTTTGGGATACGGAGATTCCATATTTGATATTTGCAATGTTGCCAGATTTGCCGTTTTTCTTATATTATTAGTAACTTTGGTTTTTCAAATTCATCACCCTGTATATTCAGTGATTATTAGAATTTCCTTTTCAATACGAGTTCAACCATATGTAACACTTATGATTTTATGTAATCTGGAAGGTCTTAAATACATAAAACAGAAGTCTGGCAACGCCTTATTGTCTCAATAAATTTTTTAATACTAACTATTTTTAACTACATTAAAACGTAACAATTGATAGATTACAACATTTTTTAACACAATAGTTACTTTATCAAGTATTTAAAATGTCTTCCATTTGTGAGTTGACAGTACCCTAATCGACGGTAGAATGCGTCTACTACATTTTTCCATGATTGTCTAGAATTTATTCGAGATTCATAGATTTTTCGTTGCCTTAGTTTTGCAAGACTTGGTTTAGTTTTATAAACTGAATTTTTCAAGTATCCCCAATAAAAATAATCTTTAGGATTGAAATCAGGTGAACGTGGGGACCATTCAAATCTACCTCGTCTACCGATCCATCGTCCTGGAAATATCTCTTCTAAATAACTCCGAGCATTTACCCTAAAATGAGTTGGAGCTCCATCTTGCCCATATCTAATTAAAATTGGCACCAACAAGTTTATGAGTGTAGGTATAGTTTCATTTCTAAGTAACATTTCTTAACTATCTGAAGTTAAATTACCTTCGATAAAAAATGGCTAAATTAACTGAGTACCTACTATACCTGACCATACATTAAATTTTTGTGGTCTTTGAGTTTGGTTTTCACGCATCCAGTGTGGGTTTACGTCACTTTAGTACCTTGAATTGTGTCGATTTACACTTTCACACAGTGTAAAGGTTGCTTCGCTGGAAAAACGTATTCTATTAACGAATTTTTTTTCTTTTCCATTTTATCCATCATTACCTCAGTAAACTCTAATTCACGATCAAAGTCATCTTCACTTAATTCTTGCAAGTTAATTTTGTATCGGTTAAAAATATTCTTATGTAACACACTTAAGACTGAAGAACGACCTACATCATGTACTTGTGCAATCCTGCGTGAGGATGTATGTGTATTTTCAACAAAACTTTGCATTATATCTAGTTTTGTTGTCATTCATAACTCTTTTCAGTCTAACTGATCGGTATCTATCTAGTAAATTCGTAATTTGTAATTCGTAATTCGTAAATTGTAAATTGCTTGTCATAATTTTACAAAATTTGGTGTAAATGTTTCACGTTATTTAGAAGAGGTATTTCCCGGACGATGGATTGGTAGACGAGGTAGAATTGAATGGCCTCCGCATTCACCTGATTTCAATCCTAAAAATTATTTTTATTAGGGATGCTTGAAAAATTCAGTTTACAAAGCTAAACTAGCAAGTCTACGCATTCTACCATCGATTAGGGTACTGTCAACCCACATGAAGCACATTTTGAACATTTGATAAAGTAACCATTATGTTAAAAAATGTTGTAATCTATCAATTGTTACATTTTATTGTAGTTAAAAATAGTTAGTATTAAAGAATTTATTGAGACAATTAGGCTTTGCCAGACTTTCTGTTTTATGTATTTAAGACCTTCCAAACTACATAAAATCATAAGTGTTACATATGGTTGAACTTGTATTGAATAGGAGATTCCAATAACGACTGAATATACAGGGTGATGAAAAACCAAAGTTACTAATAATATAAGATAAACGGCAAATTTGGCAACATTGTAATTATTAAATATGGAATCTCCGTATCCCAAAATAGGTGTACCATAAATTTTGTACAATTATAACTAGCAATTTACGAGATAATTGACCGTTTACAGACTTTTGGGCCACTCTGTATTTACTCTTTCCTAATAACTGATGTCCGTTATTATGTAATTACCTTTTTTACTAATACTATTTACTAAATCACAAAATTCACAAGTTCGTTATGTTTGTAAATTTTTCTGTTTTTTTTTTTTCACTTGAAAATTGTTCAGTTTTCGATATATCTACAACGTCAAATGTTTCTTCGTAGTCATCTATTAATTTTTACTTAAATTTTGTCGCTCGGCTTACACTTTAATTTCTTAACTAACTAGCTGGTTAACTAGTTGACCCTACACATAGCTATCTACGGAAAGGCAAAAAGTGCATTCTTGACTACGATTTTTGTGTTCAAGAGCCATGATCTCACCCTAGAAACAAAAATTAGTCTTTTAAATGTTATGTGTACTCAGTGCTTTTGTAGAGAGTAGAAACGTCGACATTGAAGGAGCAAAACTCTATCAAAACTTCAGGCTTTTGAGCTATGGTCATACAGAAGGATCCTGAAGATACCATGGACAGACAAAGTCACCAATGAAGAAGTACTGCGAATTTTTTTTAACATTGTGAAGGGCCGTAAGCTGTAGTCCTTGGGACATATAATGAGAAGTCAAGGCAGATACGAGCTGCTTCAATGCATTTTGCAAGGTAAAATTGAAGGGAAAAGGGTCCCAGGACGGAGAAGAATATCCTGGCTTGCATACCTTAAAGACCTCAACACAGCTATTTCGTATAGCAACAAACAAAGTCATCATAGCCAGAATGATCGCCAACGTTCGCACCCTAAGAAGAAGAAAAATAGTTATCTACAATAACTACTTAACAAAGATTGCATGATTGCTATGTAAAGATTACATGGTTTTGATTATCAAGTTTTGGATTACACAACAGATGTTTCGATCGGCGAGATGACCATGATATCCGTGTTCAGCGACTCAGAACACCCCTGAGTAGCAATTTATTTATTCCTTGCCTTTTTTTGTTTAAGTTTCCACTCTCTAAAATGCATTTTCCAAATGCAATTTTTCATTTTATTTCATTTCAGTTTAATCCGTTTTACTGCGCCGATTTTCGAAGGTTTAGCTGATTTTTGAGCTTTATTGCCTCTTCTATCTCAGACAATATTAAAAACAAGAAGTCAAGAACTCTAAGTAATCATAATGCTCTTATAAAGCATGAAAAGTAATGCCAGATATTCGTTTGGCTTATGAAATACGAGAAACCACACTACGTAACTCTATAGGCAACATTTCATGAATGTAGATTATTTTCTATTTTTATATTCAAACTTTAAAATAAATTGTTCCCCCAAATTTATAATTGTTTAATTTTAAAACGTTTGGTATATTCTCAGTATTAGGTTACACCAATTAACGTTTCACCTTTTAATTAAAACCATAGCCGGTCCTGGTACAACGGGCGAATAGAATCTTGGTGGCTGACGATTTTCCAACAAAGTAAAACGAGGGTGTTACCAATGCGCGTCTTTGGCATTTTCACCCTTTCTCCCTGGATTTCCGTTAGGACGCTTTTAAACAAAGGTACGCACTTCAAAATTTAATGTAACGTGAAATTTTACCTTGGCAATAAATAACTCTTGATAAGACTCATAAGCATTAATAACAGGATAATACTTGTTCGAAGGAGAAAATTCGAAATTCTCGATAATGTAATGTTTTAGAAGGAGTGTTTAAATTGGATAAGATACCGTGAGAAAGTGATTTAGGTGGGGATTTTCAAGATAACAAAGTAGTTAAGTACTGTATAGTTTGGAAAATCTGAAAACCAGATGAGATAACCACAGCTGTTTATAAAACGGAAGAAGCGTACAAAACTAAAACAAGTAAGATCTGCGATAAAAATTATTCTACATGGACGTATAAACACAGATGGACTCAGTTATTTACATAAAATTATGTAGTCAAAATTATTTGAATAGTTCATATTCTCAGCACCTTCAACTGTTGTCACGTTTTGTTTTAAAACTTCTTATTCGCGAGTCGCTGAAAATATTACTCCGTATTTTATACTCTACAGGTGCTATCAAACCAAAATAATAATTTATTGGTTATATTAATATATTTAATTGTAATCAAAATATCAAGTGTGCACATAGTGTGCATTATCATTTAATAATTTAAATAAATTTAATAATAGCGTATAATAGATACCAATCAATTATTTTATATGTAGAAGCACTGAAAACTATTTATAAATGGTAACGGTTCTTTACATTTCTCTGTCTTATGGATCTACGTCAAACTTCAAATGCTGTTCCATGTTTGTTTACTTTTTACA